TTTTTTTTTTTTTTTTCAATTTTCTGAGACAAAAAAAATTTATTAATTAAATATTTAGTCTTAATTAAATATTTTATTAATAAGAAATTTTTTAATTCAAAATTATATTAATTTAATTGTTAGATTTAAAAAATTATAATTTTTTACTTATTTATTTAAAAAAAAAAATTATTTAAAAATTTACTTCTATAAAATGTTAAATTTTATTTAAAAAAAAAAACATTTTTTCTAACTAAAAAAATTTATTTAAAAATTTAATTTTTTAAAAACATAATTTTATACAAAATCAAAAATTTTTTTTTAAAAATGAAATTTGATGGAAAATCAAAATTTTTATTTAAAAAAAAAAAATTTTAATTAAAAAATATCAATTTTTTAACTAAAAAAAAAAAATCATTTAAAAATTTACTTTTTTGAAAATTAAATTTTGTAAAAAATAAAAAATTTTGATAAATATTTACAAGTCGGGTCAAGCATTTTAATTTTCATTTTTTTGAACGAAATTTCTATTTGATTTTTTTGAAAAATACAAAAAAATGAATTTTAGCTGACAATTTTTTGATTTTTCTTAAAAAATAAACAAGATATAAAAAATTATTTAAAAAGAATTTCATTTATAATTTTTTAAAGTTCTAAAAAAAATTTTTTTCTAATTTAATTAATATAATAAATTTAATAAAATTTTTAGCACCTAAAAACAGTGATTGTGGATGTGTTCCGTCAGACGCTAGGTGACCAATTTACTAAAGAAACCGAAGAAGCATGGACGAAAACATTCCAAGTTATATATTCATATATTTTTAAAGGTCTATCTTCCTAACATATTTGTAAATAAGACAATAATTATTATAATAATGACTACAATACGTTAAATTACCACGACGATGATCTGATGAATATCAAGATTGATTTTATAATATCCGACAAATTGTAACATTATCAGGAAATTGTATGATCGTCGTCACGTGCCAACTTCCACCCGTCGCCGCAATTTCACTAATTTTTTTATTATAAATTATTTACCGTTCTTTAAAAAGCTCGCAATGAGATAAGTAATTTGAAATAGTTACAAACTATTAATTTAAGTAGACGAGAGTAATCTTTGCTCCCTTTGCATACAATCCGCCAATACATTAATAAATAATAATGTCCGACGTGTGAAATGATGTAGATGATGACTATTATATACGCGACAATGAGGCTTAACAGAACTGCCCAATTAATTTTATTCTATTCCTTGGTCTATTTATTTGTTATTATTGTTATTATTTTATTGAATGTACATCGGACAAATAACTTAACTTTATGCGCATAAATATTTAATAAAATAGAAGAATGCGCGTGATATAATTTTAATATTAAAACTTGTTTGAATTACAATAAGAATTATGAATAGAGAATACGAATATGACAGATATAATGTATATTTATATCTATATATAAATTAAACTCGACGACAAGTCATATCACGTCCTCTTAAAGTGGTGGTACTTTGACTAGAAAATGACAACGACTATGACGACGATCTACGCTCAATAATTCTCTCTGGTGAATTTTAAAAAACATACTTAATCATCACAGCTATTTCTCACGACGATAATCTAAATTATTATTATTATTATTATTATTATTATTATTATTATTATTATTATCCGAACAAAAACAGTTTCACTGTAAAAAAATCGCGCCAAGTCCACGTTCATAAGACTATTAAGAAAAAAAAATTTTATTTCTTTACAAAAAGATATAAAATAACAAAATCCAAGTAACCGATATGGTTGTATATGATTTTCGGAAATTAAAAAAAACTTTTTTGTAAATTTAAAAATTAAAAGAAACAATTTTGGAACGTATTTAGTGTGCGTGGTTACGAAATATTTTATTTTTTATGAAATTCCTAAAATCTATCTACTAGGACTTTTAAAAAAAATTGAAGTACACAATGACGCACACCAAGTATGTTCCAAAATTGTTTCTTTTAATTTTGGAACGTACTTGGTGTGCGTCATTGTGTACTTCAATTTTTTTTAAAAGTCCTAGTAGATAGATTTTAGGAATTTCATAAAAAATGAAATATTTCATAACCACGCACACTAAATACGTTCCAAAATTGTTTCTTTTAATTTTTAAATTTACAAAAAAGTTTTTTTTAATTTCCGAAAATCATATACCAACCATATCGGTTACTTGGATTTTTTTATTTTATATCTTTTTGTAAAGAAATAAAATTTTTTTTTTTTAATAGTCTTATGAACGTGGATTTGGCGTGATTTTTTTTACAGTGAAACTGTTTTTGTTCGGATTATTTAATCAATATAACAATAATTGTGTATAAAAATTAAAAAATTTTAGACATATTAAAATAAAGGTTGGTAATGTTGAATTTACATTTCTTCATAACACCAGTCGACAATTCAGATTCCGTAGTTTTCATAAAAGTACATTCCTCTCATTCCTCTAGAAAAAAAAAAAAATTAAAAAATTCATCTCGTGCTCGTGAAAATTATTCTGATGCAATTTTGCAATTTTTCGATTCAGTGAATAGCCTCCTCATTATCGCAAGACTTTGACTGAATAAGATACCTCAAGCACGTGTCTAGATCAAAGTTCATCAAGTGAATAAATACAGTGTTATATAAAACTTGGAGTTAATACAAACATAATTGTAGAACAATGGCCAGCTCAGGAAATTCAGCAGACTCGCTTTTGACAAAACTCGGCCTCCAACCAGTAACACGATGCTCGATGGCTAAATTATACGTTCCCGCATTAGGAGTTGCTGGTTACTCAGGACTTGGATACAGTGTATTGAACCCTGATTTGGTGCTAAGGTACTAAAATTTCCTATCACATGTTTAACCCTACTTTTACTCTTAGCAGTTTTTTATTTTTTCAGAACTCGGCATCACCGAGTATTATGTAATCACCAAATTTATTTAATATTTAATTATTAATAATTTTTTATTTTTGTTCAGATTTTCTCAAAATGTCGACATTACCAACATGTTCCTGGGGACTTCCCTCGTCGGCATGGGATCATACATTTACACTAGAGAACACATGAAACCGGCTCGTCCGGTTGTTCGAGTTATGTACAGGTATTTTAATCTAATAGAGTTTTTATTTTATTATTTATTGGAACTTAATTTTTTAATGAGAATTAATTCAGCAAATGTTTAATTACTTTTATAATTTTTTTAAAAAATTAATTATAGCAAAAAAAATTGATATTTTGACATTTAAAAAAATTAAAAATGCAATTCTAAAAACAAAAAATTATTGAACAAATTTATTTATTAAATAAATTTTGAAATTAAAATTAACAATAAAAACAATTATTTTTGATAGTAATAATAATAACAAATTGACATTTAAGTTAGCAGTCACTTGACCATTTTTTTATTTTATTTAACAAACAAATTATTTTTAAAAAATTGAATTTTTAATTTTTAAATGTCAATTTTCTTTTCTAATTTCTTTTGCCATAATTTACTTTTTACAAAAATTATTAAATATCTACTAAATTAATTTACACTGAATTCTAACTAAATATAAGTAACTAATACTAAAATCAACTGAGGTTCTAAATTGTTTTTCATTTTTTAAATTAATTAAATAATAATTTTAAAAATATTTTTTTAAAATTGCACTCATAATTATTTAAATTTTCATTTTTTTCCAACTAATAAAAATTCTAATAATTTTCTGATGTCTCCTAATTTTATTTTCATAAATAAAAAAAAAAACAAGGGTTTAATACAATAATTAATTTAGAAAGGATGCATTCAAAAGATTAAAAAAATTTTATAAATCGACGGTCTAGTTAGCAATTGGTCTAACTCTTTATACAATAGTCTAATTACAAATCGTTTGAATTATCCAAACCAAAATATTATCCCTTTATTAGATATTAAATTGTTTTTTAAAGTGATAATAAATTTTGAAATAATTGCTTTTTGTACAAATGGAAGATTACCTAAAATGGAGTTAAAAGGAAATCCTTTCGCTCCAGTTGAGTCAAAACAATTGTAGTAGTCAATATACGATAAATTAAAAAAAGAAACCCATAAAAATTCCTAAAATTAAATAATAAATAGTATATGAGGCATTAATCGTTGAAATTTTGAAAATAAAAAAAAAAAAAAATAGTTAAATACAAAAATTAATTTGACTCTTTCAAAACAGCTGCAAGTAATCTGTCCGTGATTTGGCAACGCTGTACTTCGATTGTTTACATTTTCATTTGCACAATATAACCTTAACCACGTTTAAGGAGGTCCTTTCGCCGCCAATGTAAAATAAAAAATATTAGATTATGAGTAAATTAAATTTTTTTCTAATAGTTGAAGTCCTTATTTATCTAATAGTGAGGTTTAAATTATACTTTAATACCGGACAAATTTTTGAAAAAATAAAATTTTTAAATATTAGTATTTGTTCAGAGTCTTACGAGAAAGTCAAACGTTTGCAGTATTTCTCGAATTATAATATCAGTCATGGATTAGAAGGAGTAAAACAAAAA